GGCCAGCCCACGGGCAGGGCAGCAGTCCTGTGCCTGCAGGCAGAGCTGGCAGCCGTGGGCAGGAGCTGGGACCGGGCTTCCTGGCGCCTCCTTGCTCCCTGTCCCCTTCTTTGGGAGATCTGGTGCCAAGCGGGACGTGCAAACCCTGGGCAGAGAGAGCCAAGTCCTTTCAGTCCCGCTGGCAGCAGTGAGCTGACCTTTGTGGAGCAAAGCAGGATGGCTCCGCTTGTGAATCGAGCTTTGGGCTGTTGCCTGCCCCCCTGGGGAGGACTTAGGAGCTGGGTTGAATAGAGCCCTTCTCCTCACTGCGTGGGCTCGGAGGTGTAGGGGGGAAGAGGAGGTGGAGCAGGTCCAAAGGGAGCTGGTGCCTTGCCCCGAGCAGCCCCCGTAGCCGCTCTCTCCTCCCGCCCAGATGCTGTTAGCAGCAAGCTCCAAGGCAGCAACATCTTCACCATCGCCAAGAGGAATGTGGAGGGCCAAGACATGCTCTACCAGTCCCTGAAGCTCACCAACGGCATCTGGGTGCTGGCAGAGCTCCGGATCCAGCCCAGCAATCCCAGCTTCACGGTACGCCCCTTCCCTGCCTGCCTCCGAAACCGCCCCGAGGCGGCTGGGAGCCTGCCCACCCTGCCTTCCCCGCTCTCTGCGCGGAGCTTGGGTCAGGCTGGCCGGGGTGGCGGGATCCCCCCGGCTGCTCCCAGCTCCCTCCCCTGTGCCAGCGCTGACGTCCCTCTCCCACGGGGCGGGTGGGCTGTGCTGGCTGGGCTCTGCAGCAGCCCTCGGGAGGCAGCGGAAGGAAGGAGTTACATCCCAGCCCTCCGACGCATCTCTGTTAAAAGTAAAAACCCCAGCCCGCTCCCCTCCTTGGGGCGTCCCTGGCTCCGCCGCTGCGCAGCGGCTCTCCTCGTGTGGGGCATGAGCCCTCCTGGTGTCCTGCTCTCCCCGGCCCCTTCGCCCCCTTCCTCGCAGCCTGTTTTCTTTGGGGTGGGACGCGCTGCGTCGCCTTGACTCACCTCTCTGTGTCTCCGTCCCTGCTGCCTGCCCGCCCGCGCCGGCCTGCCCGCTGTTGCAGGATTTGGAGGTTAGCGGAATGGTTTTCACCCCGGCTTTGGGCTGTCTCTGGCTGCTGCCTGGCCATCCTCCCTCCACTCCGGGTTTTTTACCTGCCTGCCGGGTGCCTCTT